TGCTGACTCTGTAAACCGCTTAGAGAGGGCTGAAAACCCTATGAAGCGGTATATAAGTCTAACTGCTATTTCTATCCTTCCCCTGCCATGTCTACAAAGCCACACCCACAGAATCGGTAAAAAAATTTTTTAATCCCACCACTGGAGTGTATGGTAGATTCAAATAGTATAGTACTCAGTTTGACAAGATTTTGTCTATAGGTGTGGAACAATCAAATAATTCAGCTTGGAAGAAGCCAGGCTGGGGAATGCTGAGAGTTGAAGTCCAGTCATCTTTAAGTTGCTACAGTTGAGAAACACTGATTTAGAGAAAGGCCATTAGTTGAGAAATGAAATGTCTCTGCCTTAACTAAGCTGTAAAAAATAAGTTCTAAAATAAAAGTAACCCAGTTGCTGAACTTTCTGTAACTTTGGTCCTGTTCTTTTTCAGTAAATCGTGTTAAATGAAATTCTTGTTAACTGAAGTGATGAAGGGTGCTGACATAAGCATGACAGTTGGCTGAAATTTAGCATCGGTATTTATATATCTTTTTTTTTCCTTTTTCAGGTTTACCATAGTTACTTCTGGCCATTGGAGTGGACAGTCCCATCCCGGGACAACAACAAATGCTATGCAAAAATTATTTGCAATGTTCTAGATAGGGTACGCCAAGAACATTTTGCTTTTTTTTCCCTGCACAATGATCAGCATTCTGCAGAAGGAGGAGAGGGAATGTTAATATTCATTTTGCACGCATTGTGACTCACCACCTGATTGCTTTCTCTCTCTCTCTAAAGTATACCTGAGATGCTAATTGAATCTATGTCATCTTCAGATCCTTAAATTGGAGGTATCTGGAGCCAAGGAGGAAACTGCTGCCTTCATTTGGCAGCCATCAATGATATCTTGAAAGTATTAGCCGCAAATCCACTTCTAAATTATAGAGTCATTGCATAATAACAGCCTTGCTAGGCTTTGCAACCATTAAATAGTATCCCTCTATAACTTTGTTCATTACTTGGTTAATAGCTGTGAATGTTTTAATTTGCCAGCTATAACAACAGCTGGAACCCAAAATACTGTGGTGGAACAACTATTGTATCCTGAGGCTCAAAAGCTGTTTGTGTTAGGCAGGGCAAGTGGCCCTTAGTCTCTGTGGATCCTTCCCACAGTTTCTACTGCAGTTAATTTGGACACATATTTTCTCATCTAAATCAGATATTCCCTTATTTACAGTTTATCAGAAATTTGACTCCTACATTGAAAGTGATGACTTGGAAGCTCCAGGCTTGCAACAAGCAATATGAACCATTTACTCAGTCCTGCTGAATGCCCCTTCTCTGATGCTACTGTCAAAATGCAGCAGTTGGCATAAAGAGCCAGCCAATTCAAAATTGCCCATTTAGTCCATGTGCGCGTTCATGTGGTGGATGCCGGGCCCCGTTGCACCGTACCGGTTGCAACGGGATCCAGAACCCAGCACTGGGGTTGAGCCATGGTGGGATTCAGCCAATGCGCACCTGTCCGGGAGAACCGGTTGTTAACTTTCTAAGCAGTTGGGAGAACCGGTTGTTGGAAGAAATCTCATTTTTTTCCCCACTTTACAAGGCTAATCCTGTAAAGAAGGAAACATTCTGCTGTTGTTTCTAGCCTAATCTTTATTGTCCCGCTTACAGAAACTGCCTCTCCAGTTAACCTTTATTACATTGTAACAGCTAAGGCAAAGCGCCCATTGACCTGAGTGACGTTGAGTTGGCCACACCCACAGAGTCGCATGACCACCCAACCCCGCCTACCCAACTGGTCATTAGGGCAGAGAACCGGTTGTTAAATTATTTGAATCCCACCACTGGGTAGAGCTATAGAATGTGCAAGACTAGCCCCAAGGTTGAGGTCTCTCGGATCCATATTCTTTTCTTTATTTCAAAGAATGAGGTGCTTTTTCTGATTTTGGCAAAGCCAGGGAGCTATATCCAATATGAATTGCACTAGGACATTTCCCATGTGGTAACTTAAATTTTCAATAGATTATATAACAATCCTGTCTTAAATTCATAAAGCTGCAAGAACTGCTACTTGAGTGGGAGCAGCAAACTGAGTTCCATGTTGAATATGGATAGATTGGCTGGATTATTTGATAGAAAGCCTCCCACATTCTTTTTTTTATCTGAATTGGCAAAATGCATAATAAAAATTAAATGACAATTTGCTGCCCTTTCCTGATTCTGAGGGAAGATTCTATGGCTTCCAGATTTTCTATTTCTTTGTGAAATCTTTATCTTCCTCAAGCCAATTGCTGTGGTTTGAGGGAGTTAAAGGGTTAGGTTGAATATACAGCCGGCCTTCTTCAAATCTCATTATCTTTAAACTGTCTCACTGACACTTTTAATAATCAAAAGCCTTTCAGGTCGAAAACAGAGATGATGGTTAAGTGATCATTGCTTTTTAAAGAAATGCTTATCTATATATCAAGAACCTGGTAATTACTCCCTGGTTTTATATTTAGGATAAAAATAGCCTGTTGTCATCTTTTGCATTATTTTTGGTAACTTATAAAACTTGATTTAATTCAACCCAGTTGAATTAAAATATATCCTTTGTGCAATTTTCCTGCTAGAATATAAGGAACAGAAGAAGTCCAATTACAGTATTCGTAGAAATGAGCAATCTTTAGACAAGGTGGATAAAATAATTGGCTTAGTTAGTTAAGTCCTTTTTTTGCTACTCTTGTCCCCTAGAATCGAGTTATTGGTTTCCATGTGCTTGGTCCCAATGCTGGAGAAATTACTCAGGGATTTGCAGCAGCCATCAAATGTGGAATGACGAAAGAACAGTTGGACAGCACGATAGGAATCCATCCAGTCTGTGCGGAGGTGGGTATCTAGTGCGGGTTGGCAAAAGACTATGTTTTCACAGACATTTTATTATTTTGGACAGCAATTTTGATAAATAATTTTTTCTTCTCCTTTTACTTTAATCAGTCAGCTGTCCTGCGATGGGAAAAGTGATAATGTAGAGTAGGGGTCTCCAACCTTGGCAACTTTAAGACTTGTGGACTTCAACTCCCAGAATTCCTCAGCCAGCAAAGACTTGTGGACTTCAAAGCTGGCTGAGGAATTCTGGGAGTTGAAGTCCACAAGTCTTAACGTTGCCAAGGTTGGAGACCCCTGGTGTGGAGGAACAATTAACGTGTTCGACTTGCACAAGGAAGTTTGAGGTTCAAGTCTCCTTTGAAGCTGACTGGGACCAGTGAAAATGAAGGGCAATCCCCCTGTAACTGGTTTAAGCTCCTGGAGAAAAAGTGGAATAGAAACCTAAAGAACTCCTCAATAACAGAACTTAGGTTTTCCCTGTAAAAGCTCTTGGGTTTAATTTTTGGTATTTCAAGAGAGGTCTTGGAAAATCTCCTATTAAACTCCTACAAATCCCCCTGTAATACTGAATTGTGAATTCTCCTGTGAATCCCCGAAGCTGCAGTTAAATGAGTCATACCGGGTTAGTATTAACAGCAAAACATGTCAAGAAAACCCTGGCTATTCGTGATCTGAGTGCTCCTGTCACTTGTCCCAGCTCCTGCAAACTTAGCAGTTTGAAAGTATTCAAATGTGAGTAGCTAAATAGGTACCACTTCAGTGGGAAGGTAACAGCTTTCTGTGTGCCTCGGCATACAATCATAGTGGCCACATGAACATGGCAGTGTCTTTGGACAATGCTGGCTCCCTTGGCTAAGAAATGGAAATGGACACCATCCCCTAGAATTGGACACAATTGTAAGGGGAAACCTTTAGCTTTATAGAGAAATTTTGAAAAAAAATATTCAAAGAAGGCAGTGCTAGTTTTGCTCCTAACAGCATTACCTTTGTTGCTAGGAGGACAATATGAAAGTTCTTCAATGGAACAATTTGCCTCCAGAAGTTGTGAATGCTCCAACACTGGACATTTTTAAGAAGACGTTGGATATCCATTTTTCTGAA